TACGATGGGTGGACTTCAACTCCCAGAATTCATCGTAAACCCATCGTAAAGCGGCTGAGTTTGAAAAACACTGGTGCAGTGCTACGTTGAATGGCTGGCCTTGGACCCTGCAACAATAAAAAGCACAAGAGCCAGGGGTGGCTGCAAGGTATGGTCAAAAAAGTCAAGATGGCAGCCACAGCGTGCAAATAAAAGCTCATCTGATTTTTATGCATCTCAACTTTTTTTAGCACCCCAAGGGGAACGGTAAGGTTCGGATTCTAAGCGTGCCCATCTCCCCAACCCCGAGGCCACGTGTATCCCCTCTCACGTGCACCGTGACGTCATTCAGGCAACGACACCACGGCCCGCGCGGCTGCTCTGTAGTGGTAAAACTGGGATCGATTCTTTCCGTGCTCCAGGGAAGAAGAAATACGGGATTTTTGTTGTCCAAAGACAACCAGTCACTCTGCAGTGAGATGGGCGGTGATAAATTTGGAATATCAGTTAATCAATCAATCAATCAATCAATCAGCCACCAAGGATGTTTCTCAGCTAAACCAAACTCCAGACAGGAAAGTTTTGTTGGTGTTTTTTTTCCCTTGTAAAAAAAGTTTATGGATATATATTTATGTATATAGGCATATTAGTCCATTAAATGAGTTGCAAGAAACTCAAACAGCAACTAAGAATTGGTTATCCCCCGAGACACACAGAACAGCAAATCTATTCAGATTAAGGTGTTTTGCACTTTCACGCACGCCCACGCTCGTTCCATCTCCCCCTCGGCCTGTGTTTTATCCCGAAGGACCACCGTGACCTAGACCAGAGATTCTTGCCATTTCGCTGGGTGTGCAAAATACGTTACACTGAGGGGCCATCTCCTTCTAAATCAGCATGGTCTAGAGACAACTTTGCTGCATTGACGCCCAATGCACGTTCATTTGCACATAGACCATCGCCACATTTGCACACAGACCATCATCCCGTGTTATCAAGAAGGTTCCAGACATTCACACCCCCTTTGCCGGTGCACTGGAGCAGCTTTTCTTAGATCTGTGCAAGAAAACAAAAATCCACCCCCTTTCACACGCCCTGGATCCCCCCCGGAGGAAAGGCTGGAGCTCTAGGCACGTCCCTTGGTCCTGGGCGTTGCAAACACCCGTCCGCCCTAGCTGTGGGCCATGAACAACCTTCTGTGTCTAGACGTGGAGCCCCGGGGACGCCCCCTGCCCCGCCGGGGGACCCCGTGAGGGCTTCGGGGCCCAGCGCCCCTCTCTCCCCGGCCACCGCTAAGCACGGGCGGTCCCGGGAGGCACGCTTCGGCTTTGATGGGGTAGAAGAGCGGGGTGGGTTCGGGTGACGGCTTGGGAGGCGGGCCCTCGGGTTTCAGAGGCAGGCTGGCCGGCGCTGGGACGGCGGGCTCGGCGCTGGTTTTTGATGCCCCCTCCCGCCGGGGAGATGCCCGCTCCTGGCGCAAGAACCACAGTTCATCCCGGATGTCAGTGAGGACGCCCAGCAGCCGAAGCTGAAGCTCCCTGTCCCGTGCCCGCTCGTCCCGCTGCTGGGCCCGCTCCTCCTGCCACACGGCCAGCTCCTGGTGGTAGAGCTGATCCCACCGGTCTTCCATCTCCATCAAGCGATACAGGTTAGTCCTCCAAGGCTCCCAGCTGCTCTCCCGTGGGCGGGAGCCCCCGATTCCCCGTGGTACAGGGTGGGGAGCGGGCCCCTGGTCTGCCTGGGGCGATGCCGAAGAAGGCAGGGATTCCTCGTGGAGGGCCCCCACGTGCACCGGAGATCTGGGGGGCTGCTGCTCCTCCTCCTGCGGCGGCGGCTGCTTCTCCCAGGCCGCACCCATCAGCCCCCGTGGCAAGCAGCCCAGCTC